GAAAAGTTAATGAAATTGAGTTTTAAGTCTCCAATGAAACGAGAAATGAGTGCTTTAGTGACCAATGATGTTGTCATTGAAGCCATGAGACCAGAAAATATTGATTCCAGTAATTTGCTAAACAATGAGATGAAAAGACCATCAAATGAAGCGAATGCAAGCAAAGAGACAGATGGAAACAATAATCAAACTATTATTCAAACGCCTATTCCTAAGAAAAAGGCCAAAAGAAGTTTAGATGAAGGAAACGTTAATCAACCAAAAGTTTCTAATAAACTAAAAGTATTGAAATCAAAATATTTTGCGCAAAATAATGGACAAACTAATGGTGAGGGCGTAGAAGTGATTGAACAGAGAATTACAGAGAATAGTGAAACCCATCAAAAGTGTGCTCAAACTGATTCAAATGGCCATAAAGTCCCAAATTCAGTGCAAAGTATTATAATTGTTAATTATAATATAAAATTAAACCATTTTTAACTTTATTATTTGTTTAGATAAACGCCACACCGAAAGCACTCAACATATCTGCAATACAGCAGTTGTTGTGACACCAGACGTATCCGTTGCCAAACATGGAGTCCATTTGACTGTCGCCTCCACTTCGGCCTCCACTGCAACCATTGAAACCCCAATTGAGTCTCCGCTGCCATCGAATGAATTGTTTGAAAGTTCTTACGTCAGACGAGAAACCAATTCATTCGCTTCGCCACACAATTACCGTCAAAACAATCAACGATTTAATCGACACAATAGAAGATCTAATCACGTGAATCACTCGAATGCGAGCATCAGTTATAATAATTATGAAAATCTATTGGAAGTCACGCATCATATAAAATGTCCATCTATTAAATCTGTGCCTCAAGTTTGCTGTGTTTTTGTGACCGATTGTGAACTTTTTGTTGGTCTCGAAAGGGGTTTTGTTAACAAATATACATTTGATTCAAATGGTCTTCAATTTAGCCATCAATATCCACAACTCGATGCAAATATCAATGCTTTATATTATAGTCAAAAATATAATTATTTATATTGCGGAACAACTCAGGGATTATTTGCTTATTTGAATGACACGAGTAATAACTTAAGTTATGATAAAATTAGATTAATTTACAAAAAACGACCGCATATTATGTGCTTTGAAAGCAGTCATACCATACTCTATATTGGGTTGAGTAATGGGTTTGTCCATAGATTTGGTTTAATGTCCAATACGATGGTCAATGATTTTAAAGGCTTGAGTTCGTCGATCATTAGTCTGAAAATAATAAACGATTTTTCGGATCGTCTCATAGTTTGCGGACAAAATGAGATCTCAATCCGCAATTCAGTGAACGGTTCACTACTCAACACTTTAGATAAGGATAATAAAAGTTTTATCTCCGCTGAACTCTTTGCAAACCGACTAATTGTTTGCTATAATATTAGCGGACAATATATCCATCACTTTAATATTTACGACCAAAACGTATGAATTTGTTCTTTCATTTGATTGTGACTTTAATTTGAATGTTATTTTTATTTGTCTTTCACTACAGATCCAAAACGTGACCAATAGTTTTCACGACATTTCTTACGCTAAGTTTGCGGCAATTAATGAGAATAAGTTTTATATTCTGACACATAAACGAAATTTGATTTGTTTTGATTTGGAGAAGTCATGCATTGAATGGTCGATTCAGCTAAAGGTTAACAAACTTCCCGTTTGTATGACTGTTAAGAATCGGCGCATTATATTCGGAATGCTTTTCGGGAAAGTGTTGCAGATTGTGATCGACCAAAACAGTCCTTTAATTTGCGAGTCCTATCAATGCGGACAACATTTTCCCCGCATTTGTGATATTTTCGATCACTTCCATGATATACACGCCCTTCCCTTCTATCGAAGTCAAGCCAATTCTCCCATTTATTTTCACTGTCCATGGATTGGATGCGGTCTCAGAATTGCCAACACTTCTCAATGCGTTCCTATGGTTTGTATTATCCAACTATTTGTGCCATTATTTTATAATAATTTATATTTTTATGTGTATTAACAGATCGTCGAACATATGAAGACTCATGTGGTTTAGACTATTAAAACCATTGTTATAATTAATTTCATTATTTACACCCAATGTTATTACAAAGTGTTGTATATTTTTTATAGTTTTGTTCACAGATTAATCATGTATTTAAATAATTTTTGAGTTTAATTGTAAAATAGTTTATTTACGCTCATTAACTGTGATCGTTGTTATGGCTATCATTTAAATTGTCTTACATTAAGATATGATTTACAATAAAAACTAAACCAATGTTTGTTCACTTAAAGCATACTTTGCTGTAAATGTGGTTTTCATTGACACTCAATATGAGAGGAGTGTATGAGAAGTAGGCGTTCACTCAATGTATGCAATGTTTGACTCAATCTCTCATTCAATGCAAACCGAAATCACATTTGGATTTCAATTCAATTATTAATTGCAAATAACTTCAGACTTTCAAATAATGGTAATTATTAATGAGATAATGGATAATCATTTGTGATATATGTGATGATATTGTCTGTGTGTGTCTGTATGTGTAGATCCGATTCATACTGATCCAGAACAGGGCGGGGAAGACACGTCTGGCGAAGTGGTATATGAACTTCGATGACGACGAGAAGCAGAAACTGATAGAAGAAGTGCACGCAGTGGTCACTGTTCGCGACGCCAAACACACCAACTTTGTCGAGGTATGCAATACTCATCCAATACATCCACTCTTGTCTATCTTGTCTACCTTTGCCTAATTCGCGTGTTTCTCTTTGATCGGTGGATCAGTTCCGCAACTTTAAGATAGTATACCGTCGTTACGCCGGACTCTACTTCTGTATATGTGTTGACGTGAACGACAATAATCTGGTTTATCTCGAAGCCATTCATAACTTCGTGGAAGTGCTGAACGAGTACTTTCACAACGTCTGCGAACTGGACCTCGTCTTCAACTTTTACAAAGTAATTGCCAATTGATTTGTATTATTGATGATAATGTTTGTGCAATTGATGTGCTAATGATGTTGTGATGCTTTGTGTGGACAATAGGTGTATAGTGTTGTGGACGAGATGTTCTTAGCGGGAGAAATACGGGAAACGAGTCAAACAAAAGTCTTAAAACAACTTCTTGTCTACAATTCACTCGAATAGAAGAGCCATTCCTTTAATTTCTTAGTATATTTTTTGTTAAATTAATTATCAATTGATCTAATTATTGGATTCATTTATCGGACAATTTCTCTTCTGTTTACAAATGTTCATCTCTATTGATATTACCATTAATTGAAATCTGATTTATTCTATAATTGTTTTAATTCTAAATAAATAATTAAAATTTTTAATTTAAATTTGTCTAAAATTATTACATATTTTTTAAATAAGAATTTGTATTGAATTTTAAATGTTTTAATTGAAACGAGAAAATTGTTTTGATTTTTAATATTTAAATGCATTTTTGCTTTCATAGCGAGTGAAGGGGAAGAGTGGAGATCGTTGCTGTGGTTGCGGACCATTCTTTGGGTCCGGAATCTGATATCTCTTTGATATTGAATGCAAACCATAAACACTAATGAATGGCTTCGAGATAAACCAGATTATTGTCGTTCACGTCAACACATATACAGAAGTAGAGTCCGGCGTAACGACGGTATACTATCTTAAAGTTGCGGAACTGATCCACCGATCAAAGAGAGAGAGAGAGAGAGAGAGAGAGCTAGTGGATCGATAATTGCAATGAAGTGATGATACAAACAGACACACAAACTGGTGGTAAGTGTGGAGCGATATAATGATCACAAAACTCAGTTCATAAGACATACGTATTATGTCTTGAATTATATTTAATAAAACGTTAAATTAAGTCATTTATAAAAATCATGAAACGATTAATAAGTTGTGAATTGAATGCAATTATATTCCTTATAGTCTATGTGTTTAGTGTTTATGGTTTGCATTCAATATCAAAGAGATATCAGATTCCGGACCCAAAGAATGGTCCGCAACCACAGCAACGATCAATTCACGACAGTATTGTCGATCGGTTCCACATTAATGTGAATACCATAATAAGAACCCACGACTCGAGAGCACTCGGAGCTAAATATTTGAACGAAACAGAATTGCCCTCAAATGAGGACTGTTTGTACTGGTGTTTGGATACGAGTCCATGCAATCTGGCTGTATATGAGCAAAAAGTATGCCGTTTTTAATTTAATTATAACTTAAATATGATTTGTATGAATCAAATTGTTGTTCAATTGCAGACTCGCGGCAGTTGTTATCTGTTTGATTGCGGCCCTAATGAAGACTTTCGATGCAAATTCACGGCACATAACTTCTACTCGAGTTCTATACTTCAGGTGAATCGACATCCGTATGATCTGAACGAATGGCAATCGCAAGTGAAACACGAGAAAGAGTTGACAAAACTTCGAGTTCAGAGCACTGTTTCTCCGATAGCCAGCAGTAGTACATCTTCGGTGAGGAATCTTATGGCTCCGTCAGTGGTTCCAACCACTACTGCCACTTCACTCCTGTTTCACAAGAGTAAGTGCTGTTCATTGAATTTATTGATTTTTATGTATTGCTGCTAAATATCTAAATTATTAAGTAATGTATTTTGTAGTCAATCTGTGTTTTAATATTTTATTGATTTCTAAACATTTATTGTTTAGCGTCTCGTTGTTTGCACTTTCAGTTTGAGTGCAAGAATAACAGCGAATGTATTGCGATATACAATGTTTGCGATGGTATTCCTCAATGTAGTGATGGAAGCGATGAATCGGTTGACTTAGAGTGTCATAAATCCAGATTTAATGTCCCGAATCCGAAAGCAAGTCATACCATAAGTTCATCAGACAATTCGGCACAAACTCTGAACAATAAGCAGTTGGATATGAAAGATATGTCACATCAATCCGATAAATCGAGTTCAATGTATTCGAGAATTACCCCAAATAAGTCACCGCAAGTAATGCCCGCTTATAACTACCCGAAAGCATCGGATGCAGACAATACAAGATCGGCTGACGAACAGATTGGGACACCGAAAAAGCAACACAATTACAGTCCGGCAGAACAGGGGGTCAATAATAATTACAATCCTCAATACAGAGCTAATCCTCAATGGAATCAATACTATCAGCAAAACGATGGTTTCGGTTCATCAGACAATCGGATGAGTGGTTCGGGATATGCTGTGGAACCTCAATATCTCAACAGTTATAACAATCGCGACTCGAATTCTGGCTCTTATTGGCCATCCATTGGAAGACAACAATCCTATGACTTAAGCGACCAAATGATGTCGCCCGGGAGTCAATCGTACGGCAATTCAATGTCCAATAAGCCACAGACCAATGCAGAGGACGAGTGGGCACAGAGCGGCGCTTCAAATGCAAACCCATATAACTCTAATTATTACATCTCAAGAACAAGAGATAGTAAACCAGAACTCAAAGGAAACCAAAATCTATCCAACAATAAGATGTTTTCAAAACCATTAGAAAGCGAATCGGCGGCCAAAGCAAAGCAAAGCCCAATTCCTCATAAATACGAACAACAACTTAAATCTCAATCCACTAAAATAGATGAGACAAACAAATCACAACAACTTTATACAAACCCAAAGCCTAGTTATTCTCATATTTCATCGAATAAGGGTTATGTGAAGAGCGCTAGTATTGTCGCCGTCTCTTATATGCACGATTCGAGCCAACAAAGCGGCCGCGAAACCAATAGCGCAGTCATTGCACTCAGTCTCGGCTTATTAGTGACCGCATTGTTGATCGTTTTGGTCGGATGTCGGATGAAGTCATTCAAACGAAAGATCGCCCGAAGGGGTCGATCACTTGCTCACGACGCCGACTATCTGGTCAATGGTATGTACCTATGATTGGTTTCAAATGAGCGCCCGTTTTACTACTTTGATCAGTAATTCCCATTCAAGACAAGAATTTGGAGTTAGATCTACATTAAGACTAATCACAATCAAAACTATTTGTTTTTTAATTCATACAATTCCTTGGCATCTATTTTAAAACTTTACCAAGTTTGTTATTTATTATTACTATTATTCTTGAATATAATTTATAATGTAAACTATGAATATTTATTTTGATTAAATACAATCCTTTCGTTAGTCTATTGGACACGGATTCTGAACGAAGTGCAAGAGTATTGATATATATTATTATACGTGTTATTACTTCAAAAATATTGAATCCAAGAATGAATTAGTATTTTATTAGTTATTAGCCATAACTTATTGCTAATAAATTATACTTGATTTTAGTATAAATCCAAACAATTTAAGATAAGGCTATTTGTCATCAATTTTAGTTATTCTTATATTAATTTATATTTTCAGTTTATACGACATACAATTATATAAACTAGTATAAATTTTGTTTTCAATTTAAAACTTATTTAAAAATCGAATTTCTACTAATTTCTAAAAGTTGTTAAATTAGTTAGAGATGTGTATTGAGTCATTTTCACTTTTCAAACTTTATCTAATTTAAAGCAATTTATATGTCAAAAGTTAATTAGTGTGGAGTTTACACAATGTCTTTATTTTACAATTTTTAATGTCAGTTAATAATGTTAGTAAACAATTTTAATTGATTTTATTGACATATTCTTTTATATAGAATTAAGTTATAGCGTTATTTTATCTAACTTTATCACGATCAATTATTTTTCAATATAATATTGCAGAATATTGTTTGCATCTTAATACAAAGCACTTTAATTTAAGAATTTATAAAAATTATAATTTACTAAAATATTTATTTATTCATGAAATAGTGATGTGATGTGACTATAGTGTTATGTTGAGCACCTCTTAACATGCATTTTACTTATACATGTATGTTATTTCAGAACTTTTTATATAGTGTAATGATTTTTTTTGTATTGATTACATCTAACAATAGTATTGCAAATGAATACTAATGAAAATTTGTGAATAGAAATTACATTAATTAAATGAATGAAAAGATTAAATGAAACACTGGATAACACTTGAAGGCCTTTACCAAACGAATCGATTTGTAATTAAGGACTACCAGGTCACTTATATAATATATAANTACAATCCTTTCGTTAGTCTATTGGACACGGATTCTGAACGAAGTGCAAGAGTATTGATATATATTATTATACGTGTTATTACTTCAAAAATATTGAATCCAAGAATGAATTAGTATTTTATTAGTTATTAGCCATAACTTATTGCTAATAAATTATACTTGATTTTAGTATAAATCCAAACAATTTAAGATAAGGCTATTTGTCATCAATTTTAGTTATTCTTATGTTAATTTATATTTTTAGTTTATAAGACATACAATTATATAAACTAGTATAAATTGTGTTTTCGATTTAAAACTTATTTAAAAATCCAATTTTTACTAATTTCTAAAAGTTGTTAAATTAGTTAAAGATGTGTATTGAGTCATTTTCACTTTTCAAACTTTATCTAATTTAAAGCGATTTATATGTCAAAAGTTAATTAGTGTTGAGTTTACACAATGTCTTTATTTTACCATTTTTAATATCAGTTAATAATGTTAGTAAACAATTTTAATTGATTTTATTGACATATTCTTTTATATAGAATTAAGTTATAGCGTTATTTTATCTAACTTTATCACGATCAATTATTTTTCACTATAATATTGTAGGATATTGTTTGCATCTTAATATAAAGCACTTTAATTTAAGAATTTAAAACAATTATAATTTACTAAATTTACTGATTTATTTATTCATGAAATAGTGACGTGATGTGACTATAGTGTTATGTTGAGCACCATTTTACTTATACATGTATGTAATTTCAGAACTTTTTATATAGTGTAATGATTTTTTTGTATTGATTACATCTAACAATAGTATTACAAATGAATACTAATGAAAATTTGTGAATAGAAATTACATTAATTAAATGAATGAAAAGATTAAATGAAACACTGGATAACACTTGAAGGCCTTTACCAAACGAATCGATTTGTAATTAAGGACTACCAGGTCACTTATATAATATATAACATTTATTATTTATAAATTTAATTAAAAGTATCAGCAAAAATATTGACTAAATTTAATATTAAAAACGTGTCAATATATGGGAATAAAAGTTGATTGTAATTATTTGAATGTTTATTTGAAATTTTGTTGAAATCAATATGAAATGAAATGTTGAAAATGTCTTTTATAAACGACACCCTTATTAGAGGAATTGATTTCATTATTTAGTTTAGTATTTATCAGGTTTTGTAAGTAGAATATTAAAAGTGATACATTTAATGTCAATTTAATATTGATTCCTATTATTTGTCAATTTATTTAATTTCCAAATATAAGTCTCTTATAATTTTGTCATTTATATATAATTAATAAAAATTTGTTAGTATTTGTTAATAAATCTAATTATTGTTACAATATTTTGTTGTATTATTTAACTATAAATTGTATTTACAATAAATGTAAAGTTCTATAATTATGCTGTTATTTATTGAACAATTATTTTGATTATTTCACATCAATATAATTAATAGTATTTATTTCGATATAAGAAATACATTTATATCTGAATTAGTTATCAACTCATCTCCAAAACAAGTTTTTAAAGTTTTATTAATTTTTATTAATTTACAAGAATTTGCAAAAAATTTATTCAAGAATTTTAATTCTAAAAAAGTTCACAAATTCCGGAAAGTTGTCAATAATTCGGACGTTATTTATGTGTAAAATGCATGAAATGTGCGGTTTTTAACGTTGTGTTGAATTAAACGCAAAAACAATTCATTTCATAAACAAAACAATTAAACAATAATTGAAACCATTTTACCATTGATTTCATCAAATCATTGGTTAATTAACACAACATTAGTATTGATATAATCGTTGATATCATAAATATTGTCAACAATTCATTTCATAAACAAAACAATTAAACAATAATTGAAACCATTTTACCATTGATTTCATCAAATCATTGGTTAATTAACACAACATTAGTATTGATATAATCGTTGATATCATAAATACTGTGGAAAATGTCGTCTTCGGGACCGAAAGGAAAGGCGGCGAAGACTAAAGTGAAGAACAAAACTCCGGCCGAAATCCAGATCACAGCCGAACAGCTGTTACGAGAGGCCAAAGAGAGAGACCTCGAGATCGTCGCTCCGCCGCCCAAACAGAAGATCTCAGATCCCGAAGAGTTAGCCGACTATCAGCTGAGGAAACGAAAGGCTTTTGAAGACAATATCCGGAAGAATCGATTAGTGATAAGCAATTGGATTAAATACGCCAAATGGGAGGAAAGCCAACAACAGATCCAAAGGGCGCGCTCTGTGCTCGAGAGGGCCCTCGACGTCGACCACAGGAATGTCACCGTTTGGCTCAAGTATGCGGAGATGGAGATGAAGGCCAGACAAGTGAATCACGCGAGGAATGTGTTGGACAGAGCGGTTCTTCTGTTGCCACGAGTGAACCAATTGTGGTATAAATACGTATATATGGAGGAAATGTTGACAAACGTGTCGGCGTGTCGTCAAGTGTTTGAGCGGTGGATGCAATGGGAACCCGAGGCTCAGTGTTGGCTCACTTTCATTAAGTTTGAATTGCGGTACAAAGAGGTGGATCGCGCCCGACATATATACGCCCGCTTTGTCACAGTTCACCCGCAGGTCACCAATTGGATCAAATACGCCCGCTTTGAGGAACAGAACGGATTCATTGGCAACGCTCGCGAAGTTTACGAGAAGGCCATTGACTTCTTCGGCGATGACTATTCCGACGAAACTCTTTTCATGTCTTTCGCTAAGTTTGAAGAGAATCACAGGGAATACGAAAGGGTTAGAGTTATCTATAAATACGCTTTGGAACAGCTGTCCAGCGAACAGACACAACAACTCTTCCAACAATACTCTCTGTTTGAGAAGAAGTTTGGAGACAGAGTTGGCATCGAAGACATTGTTATCAGTAAAAGGAAATATCAATACGAAGAACAGCTTAAGTCGAATTCACACAATTATGACATTTGGTTTGATTACATCCGACTCATGGAAGCCGAAGAGGACATCGACGCCACCCGTAAAGTCTACGAGAGAGCCATCGCTAACATTCCTCCCAAGAAAGAGAAACGATTTTGGAGACGATATATATACCTTTGGATCAGTTATGCCTTATTTGAAGAGTTGGACGCCAAAGACATAGACAGAGCTCGTGAAGTGTATGACTTCTGTCTCAAACTAATACCACACAAAACGTTTACTTTTGCAAAGTTTTGGATTCTGTCGGCAAAGTTTGAAATCAGACAAAAGAATTTGAGTGGCGCTCGAAAACTGTTGGGAACCGCTATTGGTTTGTGTCCCAAAGACAAGCTCTTCCGGGAATACATCGAACTGGAGATCCAGTTGCGAGAGTTCGACAGGTGTCGTATACTTTACCAGAAGTTTCTCGAGTTTTCGCCGCAAAACTGTACGGTTTGGATGAAATTCGCAGAACTGGAGACCATTCTGGGAGAAGTAGATCGCGGACGAGCTATATATGAGATAGCGATCGATCAGTCGAGACTCGATATGCCTGAAGTGATTTGGAAGTCGTATATCGACTTCGAAGTGGAACAGCAGGAGTACGAGAGGGCGCGGATGCTCTACGAGCGCCTTCTGGAGCGCACACAACACGTCAAAGTGTGGATCAGTTTCGCGCGCTTTGAGTTCCAGTCGTCGGACGGCAGCGACAGCGGTGTCGCGCAGACCCGCACTGTCTTCGAAAGAGCCAACAAAGCGCTCAAGAATTGCGAGGAAAAAGAGTCGCGTCTCATGTTATTGGAGGCTTGGAATGAGTTCGAGGAACAGTACGGAACCGACTCTAGCCGTGAGTCTGTCTCACGACAAATGCCTAAGAAAGTCAAGAAGAGACGCAAAATACAGACCAACGACGGGTCGGACGCGGGTTGGGAAGAGTATTACGACTATATATTCCCCACCGATGAGGAGGCCTTACCTCACCTCAGGTTCTTAGAAATGGCCAAAAAGTGGAAACAATCACAACAAGAAAGCGTTCAATAATTGCACTCTAATATCGGACTTAAGATCACGTTTTCATCATTTAATTAAATGTATATAAATTTTTTAATACTTATCAATAAAATTCACTTATAATCAAAATCATATAAACTTCGATAAACAATCAAATAAACGCTTGTTGTGACTGACAAACACTGAATCGTTTATTCCAAGTCTTCGGGTCTGACCGGATGTTGTAATGGGATTATAGACTTCTTGTGTTTATCTCGAGGTAAGGCTTTTCGCATATCTGTAATCAATATGTTTTTTATAAGCATTTTAATTGTAATGCAATGGCATTTCAAATACCAAAAGCGTCTTCGTCTGGATCTCCGGAATAATACTCTAAAACTCGTCGATAAACGCTATAACCGAGTCTTTTATACATATCAACGGCCACTCTATTGGAAACTCTTACGAATAGATCCACAAAATATGCCTGTTTTCTGGCAATTGAATCAAAGTCTAAATGACAATCAGTTGTTAATCACTTTTAGGCCATACTTTTCCGATGTCTGTTCCAAAGCGTTCATGAGTTTTGCGGCCAAATTGAGTCTCCGGTACTGCGGGGCGACACTGAGGGCAGTGACGTGTCCGTGCCATTGGTCTCCCTGTCCCTCAATCTTTCCCATTACTGTCAATTCAAAAGCATTTAACCATTGAATGTCATCAACAAGTGGTGGCGAAGACCTACTGTAGCCCATGATGTGTCCATTGGGCGCTTCCACCACTTGAAAGCATTCGGGCCAATGAGCCAAGTATTGCAGATAAAACGATAGGCCGTATGTCTCAGTCAATGGATCCAAATTGCTGTCCAAATGAGATGACAATCATTAGTATATCATTACTATTAGTAATACTATAAATGGCATCAAATATATGGCAAAACCAACACATTATTGAATCTAAACATATCATCGCAACGGAAGGCACGGATTGTCGTCATTATTGTCTCCAAACAATCACTTCAGCAACACTTCCGCTCACTTCAAGTCCAGACACTAACGCCTTATTAACCAATATTTCAATTATGGAAATAACAATCATTTGAAAGTCAATCAACTTTTAATGTTTACCACAAAATAAGCCATTATTTAGCATTGAATTGAGAGCCCATTGGCTGACAATGTGTTCCCTTTAAACACTATTCAATGCAACGCTATTTCTATTCAAACATGTGTTCAATAAAAGTACTAAACTATCAAAACGTGGCCTATATTTCACATTTTGTCGCTTAAATCTGGTTTAAAAGTATATTTAATAGTAAATTAGTTTGGTATTTGATTAATATTTTCTGATTGGGAATCTGATTAACAAACATTTTATTTATTTTAAGAATTCCGTAAATGTTTATGTCGATTTATCACCGGTTTATTGCCCAGAGATTTCAGTGGTAAAGGTTTGTGCGATTGTATGAAAAGTATAGTCTTTTTGCCACCGATTTGTCAATTAATAAATGAAACATTAAATTGTAAAACATATGTGCGGTTAAAGTAATGCATTGATGTATTGGTGGTGAATGTGGTTCATGTGATGGTGTGATTGGTGTGGATCTGTTGAGGCATTTAAAGCATTGAAATGATGTAATGAATGGATGAGTGAATGGTTAGTGAATTCGTGATGAGATGTCGTGAGTGTTGTGTTCGTAGTGTTGGAGAGAGTGTGGCGTCGATTGAGTCGATCATCAGTTCATTGCAGTCCTCTCTTCACGCGATAACCAAAGCATTGAAACTAATAATCGCTTCTCAACTAAACGTAAGAATTATTTGTTTTGTTTTTTGTGCTTTGATTTGCATTTTATGGCCAATGAGTCCGACGGCCAGCCTATGGACGCGTTAGTGGTGTCCGCGGGTGTAGTGCATGAAGTGATGCACATATTTAGACATATTTGGCCACAATATTGAATGAATGGTTGACTCTATGTGTGTATGCCTTGCGCTCACATCTCCTCCCTATCTCTATATTCCTATACTATTATACCATTGATTCACAACATCTTCACAGCTCTTCACCTGAGATGTGATGTGAAGGTAGGGCTGGAGTAGGGCTGGTGTCGGACTGACCCAAATTGATAGGCATTGATAAATATTTCTATATCTTCTTTGATTCACAACTTATTTATTGTTTAAACAATATTTGTTAATATCGTTAAGAATTGCTTATATATAATATTCGCTCATAATTTTGCTTCTCATATATGAACTGATTGTACGAAACGTAAGCTTTTAGAAACGATAGCAAAACGTATCGCATCTTTCAATTGATTATAAATGGGTTTTCTATTTGTTTGGTCACAAGAATTGTGTACTGAAAGCAAACCCCAAATGGTTTATCACTTAAATTATGAGCACATCTTTCGTCAAACTGTTTGAGTCGTAAACATCTTTTCGTTTCGTTTACAAAAACATATTTTTTATTTTTCTTTAATTCATTCTGTTTTATAAATTATCCGTTATTTTCAATATCAATACTATTTTGTCAATTCATTTATGGAAAAGTTTATTTTATTGCATAAGAATATACGCTTAATGTGAAGCTTTTGAATGTAACTGTTAAATAGTAAATTAATTTAAACATTAAATTATCAATAAAATGGTTAACATTATTGCCGTTTAAAATAAATATTTTTTAAGAGTTTGAGATTTATTTTACGGTGAAATATAATTTATTGAAAGGTAAGTGAAATATAATTTAACGGTAAATTTCCTGAACGATAAAATTTGATATGTATTTTTCATTTATTATAATAACATTTATTTTCACTTATCAATTGAATGGCATATTTATTTCAAAACTATTGACAGAATTTTCTAATTAATGTCAATATTCATTATTTAACTATATGTCAACTCTTACACTATTTACTTATCACAAACCTTGTTTCGCACTCACGTTACAGAAATAAGTAAATTATTCAGATGTTGACAACCGGGTTTATTAGTAGTAATTGTTTCTTAATTTGAAGTCATTATTTGAAGTAATTAGTAATTACTTAAATCGTTTTATATTCAAATTTTGAAAATCATATTCTTTACCACATTTTGTCTGTGAAACTGATGCTTAATATTAATTTCAAACACATTCTAATATCGCTATAGAAATTAGAAATAATTGTTAATAATTATATAAGCAAGGTACATTTCTCTCATAAGCAATATTGTATTTCACGATTGTTGTTAAAACCATTATTAAAGATAGAAATAATTTCAAAAAAAATTATATGCTCTTACTTATATAAAAAATTGTTGAATTTTTAAAATTTAAATTGACATCTTGATTTTGAGGTAGACCTAGATATTTTTCTTTAATATTTTCTAATAATTAGAGTATTAATATATGGATGAATAGAATACATGTGTTATTTAACCATTGATTCCTAAAACACCTGAATTTCTTTTAAATGATATAAAAATAAAAAGGATTCTAATTTCAACATTTTATTGATGGTTCAATTCTATATTTGCTTAAGATTTTGGTAATTATTACTAAAATGAGTGAATATATACGGTGCTCATAATTATTAAGTCATTAATTAGTGTCTCAAATATTTCTTAAACCATTGATCCGTTTATTCGTGCAAATAATATATATTGTATATTAAAAGTTAATTTGTATTATAAACACAAAACAAAACGAGATAAAATTTTGCAAATCAAACATAAACTAACGATAAATGAACTGATATCCTAAACTAAGTGCAAAATACTAACTCTTAATATTCAGTTTATTAATACATAAACACAAACCGGTCTTTTGTGCATTTATTGCATTGCAATTATGCTCTAAAAGACTGCAAACTCCGTAACAATTCTCAAATTGATTTTAAAATTAAAAACAAAAAATACATCTGTCGTTGAGATTTGCAGAATATATAATGAATCAAATGTAATATTTCTGAACATTGAATACAATGTTTTGAATTTCCAATTTGAGAGCATTTGGAAAACTAATTGAGCCCTTCTTTGAAAGCATACCTTGAAATTAGAGTCACAATAACTTTAGTCATAAATTATATGAATTGAGTCAACAAAATGAGTGCCAAATAATATCACTGTTTGAAACACAAGTTTGAAGAATCTATTGATATTCAGTGAATGGTCTTTATTTGCGACCACTTTATTATTTAGTAAATCTTATGAACAAAATATTTTGAAATATGTTTAGATATTTTATGAAAACTGGTTATAAATAGCGTATTATTGTAAAAATGTTTTGAGAACTTATACGGTGTTTATAGTCTTATTTGCCAATGACATAAAGAGTAATGTCTTATAGAAACGATTAGTCAGTTTCTTAAAAGATTTTATTGGTTTACACTCGACTTCACAGGTTGCAACTGTAAAGGACCGTCATTTAATGACGACACAATCAATAACCTTAAAATTATTGCACAATAAGTGACCTTGGTTTTTTTTCAAAAATAACCTTGGTCCGTTTTGTATTTACCTTGTTTTGCAATAAAAACTATTTACTTATTTAACAATATATGCAATCGCTTTGGGATATTATCAAAAACAGTTTACGCAACACTATATATTAATGAACCATGTTAAAAACTGAATTCATAAGTTATAACATTTGAGCATTTAAACTTATGATTGCATGCATTAGACAAGAGTTGATTACATTAGCGATTTATGCAACTTTGTTAGTCCATAACTAACACAACTTTGATAACAATTAAAATATTACAAAATATATTGAATTGAGAAGAAGTAGTGAAAAGCTGTGAAATAATGCGAGAAATATTGTGATTGAATTGAATGGCAATAGGAATGGGTTGGAAAACAAGCTGCGCTCTCAGGTCTTTGAACCGCTGAGCACTACATCAGTCGACCGTTTAATATTAGAACCAAAACTTGCTTTTATTGTTTATCATCTGTTCTCTGCTTTTCTATGTTATCAATGCCTTCCTATACAGAGAGTGGTAGGACTTGTAATACTGTGTATCCCAGATATCGTCTACACGTTCCCAATACATTCCTATACATTAACACATTAGTTTATAATGACTTCAATATTTATATAAACTATATTTTATAATTTCTGTGTTTGCTTTTAATCACTTAAAAACAATATTTCAATTGGTTTTATAAATTTTGAATGCAATAAAACTGAATGAATACTTGGATACGTGTACTGTAGTTATGTAATGTGTTTGGTTGCACATAACAGGGATAGTCTGTAATAATGTAGTGTTCAGTCGAGTTCATCGGAAACTCGTCTTCATCTGCAATATGAGACCAAAAGCGAGTGGTTTGAGTGGTTTGTTGTGCAACGCAATCGGTTTCCACATTCATATATGCGCTACAAATTGAATCATTTGTTACAATTGTTTTCCAACTAATTCACAAGAATTGCCATTTGTTTTATAAGTTTGTTGTGTTTGTAATCAAATAGTTTATACAAGTTTTAGTTTAATTAATTTGTTATAAAATAGTGAATTGCAATATATATTCAATGGCTGTTTTCAATTGCAGTGTAATATCAGGCGATTTAGTGCCACAACTGCTACTAATAGTGTACCAGAAGTGGAACGAAGCCATAGAAGGCATTGAATATTAATAATGATCAGCAAAAAGACTGTCAAACATAAGAAGCAAACGAAAGGCAATTCACTGATTGTCGAGAAGAATAAGAAATTGATAACCAAAAGGAGAAAACGGTCTAAAACTCAGTCATCGATTTCCGGTACAAAACAGAGTACAACCGATACAAAGGGTATCGCAACGAAAGAGTCAATCAATAGAATTAAGGATAAAAAATCTGATCAATTGATTCTCAGTGTTAAGAGTTTACGATTATTGGATAAAAAGGATAAAAATAATGCTTTTGCTAATAAGTCGTCGAAAATTAAAAATTTTAAAGAAATTGTGAAAAAAGTTAAAAATAAAGCCAACAAAACATGTAATCACGTCAAAGAAGTAGTGAAAAGAGAACTCAGAAATAATTGTAAAATTAATTTTGAAAAACAAGAGATTAATATTAAAAATAATATCAAAAACAATATTACAAACAATATTACAAACAATACTATAATAAAAAGGAAGAAAAACGCGAACCAAACAAGAGATACAATTGTGTTGAATCACGACAACGAAAAAGTGAACCCAAAAAACTCATCGAAACCTAACTCCAGATCTAATATATGTTCAAAACTATTTCCAACACTTAATTGTATTAAATCGACAAATAGTAGCAAAAATTCTACTAAATTAGAAAAAACACAAATTTCTGAATCAAAAATCAAAAGTAAAACAAATTTAAAACAAGAAAACAAAATAATGAACGATAAAAAAGAAAAGTCTACAAAATCGGTGAATAATAGTAAGAAAACTAAACCAAAGACAAAGTCAAACAACAAAATACGGAAATCTTTTAATATAAAAAAGAAACCAAATTCTAGTTCTAAACAAATGAAGAAAACTGTGAAAAAAGAGACAAAAAAAGTGAAACAAAATAATTGTAAGAAAACTACAAAATTGAAGAAAAAGCCGAAAAAATCAAATAAGAGTTCAGAGAAAGAGGAGAAAGTGTTCCCTCGAAGAGGACATCGAGTGGCGAGTCTTAACGCGAGCGCAAAAGTGAGGCTTTTGTGCGAAAATGAATCCGAAAGACACGACATTAACGACGATTCGTATGACTCGAAAAGCAAACTAAAGTCCAAAACCGATTCATCGGATTATAAATCGGATAAAAAGTGCAAAAATAACGACAAAAAAGAGACAAAAGTGAAGAAAGAGAATAAGTGTCGGGCATTGGTTCCGGTGGACAACTCTGCAAAGCAGGTGGCGGTCAGGAAACGCAAAAATATCGATAATGGCATTGAGATTATCGACACTCGTCTCTGCAAACGTATGGCCAGTCTTAACGCGTCTGCGATTATGGCCGCCAGTTATTCGCCCGAAAGGTTTAGCAGAAGCCGTTCTATTGAATCCAATCACAGCAACGGTTCCGTTGAGATGATTAGGGAATTGCAAACAATCAGTCAAACGGTGTCTCGCATTGAAATCAGTCCCGCAATGAATGGCATAAACGGCGTTCGCGTCAATCAAAACAGTGTTATTCTGAAGTCACAAAAACACGAAACCATTGAAACTGTGAAACAATTGAAAATGAGTAATAAAATCAAAGACAGACTCAAAGGGATCGCGAAACTCGAGAAACAACAACAAAAGGCCAAACACAAGACCAGACGCGCCAAACACGAGGCCAACGCTGACGACAATCTCTCGGTGGGAAGCGATGACCAATCGGTGTCGGGCGCCGAAGTGGCCGAATATCAGGCCACTAAAGTTCAAGTGACAAAAGTTACTCAAATTAACACATCTCAGGGCAAAGACAAGAAGAAATCCGGTCATCAAATCGATTCCATACTCGAAAGAGACTCAGCAGTTGTCCACAAATATCAGGTGCAGACAAAGTCCACAATCGAAATGCAAACCACTTTCAACTCAAGCAACGGCTCGACTATCGCTAACGTGACCACAATTACGGCTCCGCAACAAACGCCCGGCACTGCTGTCCCCCCACTGCACGTCCAACTCAGCGGCGCCGCACCCGCGCAACCGTTTGCCCCGCCTTTACTCCCATCCACTCACCCGTCAACACACGCGACTCCCGCCTACTTTAACTTCACGGGCGCCGCACCCGTACTCCAGCTCCACAACAATCAATATCAGGCCATTTCGTCGGCGCCTTCGATGAACGCAATGCCAATAATCAATTTGTCTGAACCCTATGCCACCCATTATGGCAGTGCCTTTTCGGTGCCTCACTTCGCAACTCACGCCCACCCGAACCAAAACCCATTCAACTATTTTCACGCCGGAATCTATCAGCCGGCGGGACCTCTTCTGCAACCATTTCAAGATCCCTGTCTTATCCATAAACCGATTCCATTTCATCCGCCGATCTCTCAAGTGAATCACATCCACAGTAGCCCTCAGTTTCCAAACGCCACTCTTTCCACACAAAACAGCCAAACATTCCAGAATGAGTTGACACAAGCCTTCCATCCGAGTGGACAGTACTTCCATCAATTGCCAACACCTCTCAGACACTCGCAAACCGTATACTTTCAGGCAATGCCTCAAACCAACGCTTCTCTGGCGCCAAACGCAACCACTTTTGCTTTTCTCAATCCCGGCGTTCATTACACGCATCCGTTTGTCAACTCTGAACAGTTGGTCCCACAAAACGAAACTCCTATTGTAGCCAATGATATGACTTTTATTAATCGCAATCCAAAAGCCAACACAAGTGACACAAACTCTTCAGCAATTACACGCATCCGTTTGTCAGCTCTGAACAGTTGGTCCCACAAAACGAAACTCCTATTGTAGCCAATGATATGACTTTTATTAATCGCAATCCAAAAGCCAACACAAGTGACACAAACTCTTCAGCGGCGCAAACGGTCAACACATCCCATGACAACAATTGCCGGCAACCGTTGTCTAAAAGTATAAGCATTCAGTGCTCCCCTCAAAGTAGAGACAATTTTCAGACATTACCTGAGAATCAATTCTGCGATTCGACCAATAGTTTAGTCCAAATGTCTCATATGATTGACAGAACTTCTGGACATAATCTCGATTCACAGACTTCTTCCACCAAAAGGACCAATAAATCAGACCATAAGAGCGATAAGAGAAAGAAATCTCTGCTTTTAAAGCACACACCGAATAGAAGTACCGATGAAGTGATGGTTCGCGACAACAATACACAGACACTGACCACCGAATGCGAAGAACACGAGGAACAGAGTTGTTCCGTCAAAAGTGTTGATAAGTCTATAAACCCTTCGAATCAAAACAAAATCAATTCAATAAATAAAGTGAATTCTCAACAAAAGCTTATGAAAAGAGTCTGCGTTCAGATCGACACTCCATTGCCTTCGATGTCAACGCCATCAGTAGTGCCGTCAGTGCCGTCAATGCCATCAACGCCTTTGCCTTTGAAAAGACCGGTTCGGAAGCGTTACTCTCACGGCTGGTCGTGGGAGGGAAGACCCGTTGATAAATACGTTTACTTAAACGTATGTATAATTTGCTGTCATTATTATGAATGTATTGATTGAATGAATTGTATTGATTAGAACGAAGAACAATCATATTTACGCAAATGTTTTCCTGCGATCCGTCACAACGAGGGCGACGTTATTAAAGTCAGAGATTGTGTGCTATTGAGAAGTGGGCCGCGAAAGACAGACCTCCCGTTCGTCGCTAAGATCGCCGCTCTCTGGGAGACTCCCGAAGGTTCGCACACTTATAGCTAAACAGTATTATTGGATGTGAATTATATATTTGTTTGATAACAGGAGAAATGATGATGAGTTTGTTGTGGTACTACCGTCCAGAGCACACGGATCTCGAATACTACTCGTCGCAGATGTTGTCGGAAATCTTTGCCTCCAAACACAGAGACGTCAATAGTGTCGCCTGTATTGACGACAAGTGTTATGTACTGACATATAACGAGTTCTGTCGTTACAAACGCTCCAAACTATTGAAACAGTCTCCTCTGTCCACTTGTCTCACCACAAACACCGTTCCCGCGATGGATGAGTCCTATCCCCGTATGGATCGCATGCCTCCGACCCGTGTATTCCCTGAACTAGTGTTTTGCTGTCGAAAAGTGTATGATTACAGACAGAAACGGATTCTTAAAAATCCCATTTGAATTACAATTTATATTATATTTAAATAATTATATATACAGTATATATAAACGAAGACATTATCTATTATTTAAATTATAACAAAATATTATATACAGTAATAGTAATATAACATTAATTTAGAGATTATACTTATTTAAACTGAAATTGTTTTTAACATTAACTTATTTAGAGTAGAATAGTATTCATTAATTCAATTAGTCTTATATTAATATAAATGATTTGTTGTTTATATACATAAATAATGGTAATTATGAGTTAATTCAATAAAAGATTCAATTATTCACTCATTTATTAGTTTAATTGATAAATAAAATGTCTTTTATTAATAATTAAAAGTCCTTTACGTATAAAGTGTACAATTATTAAATATAAGAAAGAAAAACAAGAACTATAATAAAAATTTTACAAATATAGATATGCATTTGCAGTTTAAATAAAATAAATTTAATTCAAATAATTTGAACGGGAATTAGCACTGGTTTTGATTTGTCAGAACCCATATCATAGACCACTGATATTTGCAACTGATTCTCATTCTTAATCACTGTCTTCTTGTGGACCATTAAAGCGATGGAAACCTTTTCTGACGGTCCGATCATTAGTTGATTCGATGAAAATCTAATTACATTTTGTGCTATACTTTTGCCACAAACGCTCTCCAAATGCACACGAATTAGAGAATCGTGTGATTTATTGCGGAAATTGATTGTTTCCCACTCTCCTCGACGCAGGCATACACTCGTTTGCGAGCACTGAAGCAAATGTTCCTCAAGTGGTTTCTGTTATGCAATTTATATTAAACAAAATCAATGCTAAATATAGTCACAAAAAAGGTACAAACCTTCGGCCAAAAAGTGGCATTCAATTGAAAAATGGCCAAAACATGACTGGAAGGCGAATCTGTGGACACCGTTAGACACGACTCTATGTCTCGAATGCCATTCGATACGATTATTAATGGGATCCGTATTTCGTACTGAGTTTTGGTCACAACAAACAATGTCTGCGGATCTAAACACCTAAATGTATGGATAGTACTGTCCGTATGTCTATATAACGGCTCGAATAGAAAGCCTTTGTTTGCCTCCAAACATAACTTGAGAGGAATGACATCCGAAATGTTTTTATTACTAACGCATAAATCTATGGTTTGTTTTTCAACTTTTTCCTCAAAGAGGTTGTAATGGATTTGACAATAATTGGACGAAAAGAGCGGTCGTTTGATAACTACTTCTTCTGACCGAATGCGACAAATGACAGACAATGGACTGATCGGCAGATTTATGTTCTCAATCGATGGATAAATTTGAAACACTATTGTAAACGATCCGCACTTTAATGGAGTGATTGTAATATCTTCTGAGAATAAGCCGTCAAAAAAGGCCGGAATATTAATCATATGTTTCGGATATTTAATGTCTAATGCATTCAAAGTGTCGACATTTGCATTAATTTTGAGTTCGGCTTTAAATGAAGTGATCGATAGGTTCTTGACTTTAAGATAATTAAGTTTAAACTCAACAAAACATCCGATTGTAAGCGACAATACATTTGGAGAGAAAACAAGCATTTGATTCAAATTTAAAGTATTGGCATTCATTAAACCAATCGATTGACTCGACTCTGAATTAGGACTATATGTTTGTACAGTGGAAAGGGTTCCCAAACCAGATGTGACCACACTTTTGCTGCTCTTACGGACATCACTGGCGCTCATACTATCACATAAATTAAGAGTTGAATTAATACTCGGAGCGAATGAATTGCATTGAGAAAGAGTGGATCTGTTTGTGACCAATGATTTTCGTTTCCTGTTTTTGCGGTCAAGAATTTTCTGAACGTTTTCTAAGGTATTGTTTGAAGAACTGATTTCATCGTTGATTGAAACAAATGATTCGTTAATTATTGACAACTCGTTTGGTATGCTTTTAAACATAATCTCTTCGCCCAACAGTTCCATCGATTCTCCAAACGATGGAATCGCCGAAAGAGGTTCCGAACGGTGTTTGAAATAAGAGGACATGTTTTCGTCTCCAAAGTCCGAGTTTGGCGACCGATAGGTCTGATTGATGTCAACCATCGGCTCCTCGGCCTTCAGCTCAAAGTCTGAACACTTACTGATAGACTTGAAGTCTTCGTCACAGGTCTGGGAAGCGATTGCATGTGACATATCATTGGATCCAAAACTGTTCACTTGAATGCCATTCAAGTAATGGTCAAAACCGTTGCTCTCGTTATCTGAAAATTATTCAACATTTAAATTAAAACTAATTCATTGATAACAAAAGGCATATATTGTCTAACATTTATCCGTTGATATATCGACGGCAAAAGAGTGGTCAGTATTGGCGAACGGGTTCTTCACGGGAGACAAACCCAAACTGTTGTTCACAAAATTGGTGTCCATTTGGGAAGACACATAAATTAAGAGTTGAATTAATACTCGGAGCGAATGAATTGCATTGAGAAAGAGTGGATCTGTTTGTGACCAATGATTTTCGTTTCCTGTTTTTGCGGTCAAGAATTTTCTGAACGTTTTCTAACGTATTGTTTGAAGAACTCATTTCATCGTTGATTGAAACAAATGATTCGTTAATTATTGACAACTCGTTTGGTATGCTTTTAAACATAATCTCTTCGCCTAACAGTTCCATCGATTCTCCAAACGATGGGATCGCCGAAAGTGGTTCCGAACGGTGTTTGAAATAAGAGGACATGTTTTCGTCTCCAAAGTCCGAGTTTGGCGACCGATAAGTCTGATTGATGTCAACCATCGGCTCCTCGGCCTTCAGCTCAAAGTCTGAACACTTACTGATAGACTTGAAGTCTTCGTCACAGGTTTGGGAAGCGATTGCATGTGACATATCATTGGATCCAAAACTGTTCACTTGAATGCCATTGAAGTAATGGTCAAAACCGTTGCTCTCGTTATCTGAAAATTATTCAACATTTAAATTAAAACTAATTAATTGATAACAAAACCGTATATAACAGATTGTAAATAGGCAACTATATAGCTGCCGTTTTCTCACCAGTCATAACCGCTTGCCCAAGAAGTGCCCTCTGTTTGGGTTTGACAACAAGTGTTTTAACCACAGGTAAACCCTTCCGATTCCGTGATTAGAAAACAGTGTCTTTTGTCTATTAAATCCAAACAAATGGTGTCTTTTGCTTATGTCTGCTCTCGACTGCAGAGTTGGCGTCAAATCCATATTGACTGAAGTGTTGGCCAAAAGGTGTGAAGTGTTGTCGCCATCGATGGCTTGTAGATCACCGATCAGACCAAATGAGCTCTCATTGCATACGTTGTGCGCGTCATTCAGTTGTATGTCTTCGTTCAAAGCGGTTCCAGTGGTATGTGTGGACATGTGTGCCATCGCTATGTGTTTGTCTGTCATTTGTTATCAATTACTCAATTTTGATTACGAAATTAAGTATTAAGTTAAGTTTAGTGTTTTGTTAAATTTGTGTTTAAATTGCGTAAAAATCGCGAAAAGTATACAAAAACTTAGTAATCTCATCTCTAGCAACGTTTGTTAGTGAAATTTGCTCATTTGTCAACAATATTACTGATTAACGACGATTTTAAGCCCCCATTCGACAACTCTATGCATATTTGCGTTCAAACCCACTATAATATAGTCCTCCCCTTCTCTCCCTCCCCCTCCCTATAGTACTGTTGTATAATAATTATAAGATATGGTAAACACCTGTAAACTATGCAATAGTTTTGGCGCTATATTTGTGGCAAAAGTGACGCAAAAATATTGTGAAAGAGTGACTGAAGTCTATGTCTAAAGAGTGTCTTCAGAAGTCTAGCAAACTTAGCTACCGGTTTAGCAACAGTTATTCGGCATTTCTTCACCTCGCTTCTGAGGTATAGACCCCTCACTTACGGAACTCACCTCGGCACCGACACTAACTCCGGCTCTAGCTGTCGCGTTTCCCTCCGTATGAGAGTTGCGATCAATTCATCCGACAATTCATTCATCACTTAATGATTGGACACAAATTGGCTGAATGTCTGGTCGACGCACAGACCGCCCGACTAGTCGTCCAAGAGATGAGAGACAAACGCATCACTCGCACCGTCGATGACAGCCAATTGGTGGTGAAGAATGTGGCCGACGATGACAACCACTCGAAGAAATCCAAGAGTTATTTAAGACATTTGACTCAATTGAGACAACATCTGGAAAAACATCCCGTTTTTAACTCCAAGAACTTCAGACTCACACCAATTGATTCGTTGATTACAACGAGCGACGAATCGGTTGATTGCATTGTCTTTGGCTTTCTAGTGAAGAACGCGTCCAAAATCAATGAATTGGTGGTCGAAGACAATACGGGAAGAGTTCCGCTCGTATTCACAGACGACACCCAATTCAGGGACGCATTGGTTGTGGAAAACAGTTTTGTGATAATCGAAGGCACATATGATTCGCCGAAAGACTGTCTGTATGTCGAAAGTATAGGTCAATCGCCGCCAATCGACTTGAGTTCGGCCGTCGAAGTGTCCGACGGTTTGCAACGAATCGGACGAATGCTTGTCGTTATATCTGACATACATTTGGACGACGAAAACACTTTAGACAAACTGAAGACATTGTTGACCGGATATGACTCAATGGTTCCCATTCCCGACGCCTTTCTATTTGTGGGCGACTTTATGTCCAAACCATGCGATGAAGTCTCGGATTTTAAAGGTATTATAGATATGAACGATATATGAATGCAAATGTTTCAACAGTTTTGTGTCAATTAATCGCAAATATTATGTATTTTCTCCATTTACAGCTCATATGAAGAATTTTGTTAAAATAATATCCAAATTCACTAAAATATCAAACTTTTCTCAACTCATATTCATTCCCGGATTTAATGACATTAAAGGCAATGATATCCCGAAGTGAGCACTTATTTTCCTAAACATTTGCAAAGTTTGTATAAATGCTTTTATTTAATGTATTGTTTAATCGATTGATTAGATCCGCATTTACTGTCGATATGTTTCCAATGACAACAAAACTTATAAATAACTACCATTTGGCCACAAATCCGGTTAATATATACATCGACGGCCGACACATCTGTTTGTCTGCCATTCCCTATATGTCTAAACTTCGCAAACATATTATACACAACAGCACTGAAGACTCGACAGAATTGGGCGCTTCTATAGCCAAACTGATCACTTGTAACGGACACCTGAGCGCTGGTTTGTCCCACAATCTGCACAATAGCCTCTCTTTATTCCATTTGCCAGACTTTGTGCTTATATCTGACAAACACATGAATGAAGACATGGATTCAAATGCCCACAACTATACAGATCTGGTAGTCTTACCCTCTTTTTCCAGAGATAACTTTCGATTCAAAGTGTTTTACACGAATCCTAAACATATAGAGTGCAGTCAAATACTTGTCTGAAGCTCTCGTTTAACCCTTTCCTCACATATATTGCACACTAAAAGTGGAGTCAAGTTTTTCAGCGTCTGTTAGTAAACAGTGTT